AAGAGAAAGAAATTACAAGTATCAAATAGAAAAAGAAGAAATGAAATTATCTCTCTTCACAGGTGATATGATTCTATACCTTGAAAACCCAAAGGATTCCATCAAAAAACTCCTAACACTGATAAACAAATTCAGTAAGATCTCAAGACGCAATCATCAAAATATCAGTTGCATTTCTAAACACCAACAATAAACAGGCTAAGAACCATTCACAATAGCCACCAAGGAACAAAATATCTCAGTATTCTGCTAACCAAAGAGGTGAAAAATCTCTACCGTGAAAACTATAAAACACCGCTAAAAGACATCAAAGATGATACAAACAAATAGAAAGATATCCCACATTCATGGATTGGAAGCATCAATATCATTAAGATGTTCTTGCTACCCAAAGCAATCTACATATTCAACATAATCTTTACCAAACTACTAGCAACATTTTTCAAAGATCTAGAAAAGACAATACTTAAATTCATATGGAAACAAAAAAGAGCCTGGCTAGCCAAAGCAATCCTAAGCAAAAAGAACAAAGTTGGAGGCATCACACTGCCAGACTTCAAATTTTACTTAAGACTACAATAACCAAAATAGTACAGTACTGGTATAAAAATAGACACATAGACCAATGAAACAAAATAGAAAACTGAGAAATAAGGCTGCTGACCTACAAACAAATCATCTTTGACAAAACCCACAAAAACACACACTGGGGAAAGGACACCAATTCAACAAATGGTCCTGGCTAATCATATGCAGAATGAAACTGAATGCCTACCTATCACCATATACAAAAATAAACTCAAAATGGATCAAAGACTTAAACATAAGATCTCAAACTATAAAAATCTTAGAATAAAACCTAGGAAACAGTCTCCTGGACATTAGCCTAGGCAATGAATTCATGTCCAAGTCCTCAAAAACAAAGACAGCAAAACCTAAAATTTATAATTGGGACCTTATAAAGTTAAAAAGCTTCTGCACAGCAAAATAAACCATCAAGGGAATAAAAAGACAATCCACAGAAGGGGAGAAAATATTTGCAAACTATGTGTCCAACAAAGGTCTCATATCCAGAATCTACCAGGAACTTAAAACAAATTAGCAGGAAAACAACAACAAATAATCCCATTAAAAAATGGGCAATTGAGTCGGGCTCGGTAGCTCAGCCTGTAATCCCGCGCTTTGGGAGGCTGAGGTGAGTGGATTGCCTGAACCCGCGGGTTCGAGACCCGCCTGGGCAACTTGCGAGACCTCATCTCTACATAAATCAAAAATTAGCCGGG